AGGCTCTCATCAATGAAAAAATAAGAGATAAACAAGCAAGAATATCGCGGTTAACCAAAGAAATAGATGATCAGAAGCCCAAACTGGAAAGAGTCACTAAACAGGTTGGTTTTAGCTAACAGCGAACAACAGGTTTAGCTCTTATTTGGTGCATGTTCCTGTGGCCTCCCATTTTTGTCTAGCCGGCCATAGGATTATTTGGAGCCACAGCTCTGAGGTCTTGTCCCACCTTCCTCCATCTGATCCAGAAAGACCTATGCCAGATGCCTCCTTGGGCCTTGGAGAAACAGGCCAGGAGTAGGGGAGGCTGACACCTACATTGATTACTAGCTGCACCCTAGCCTCCTTCCCTCCCTGGTGCTCAACCTGGAGAGCTGAGAACAACCATCTAAAGAATTACATGGCACAAGATGTGGTGGCAGTGGAGATAGCTATTGCATGTTGCTCCATGCACTGGATGAATGTGTCTGAGTTTGGAGGCTTACGTGCGTCAAGAGGAAGAGATTGCACCCTTAGAGTACAATAAAATTATGGACTTGGAGGTCAAGATGATCAGTTATTACCAAATCATATACCATAAAGATTAACCAACTAAAAGCTAATTGTTATCTTACCATCTATTAAACAATGTTTGACATTTCTAAAGGTTTCTCGACTATCCAGAGAGATCCGAGCATTGAAGAACACTCAGTCAGAAACACACGAAGAACATGATATTGAATTCCGTGCACTGAAAGATTTCAGCAGATCCATAGATAAAATGCTGATTGATATTTCAGAAGCAAATCCAGATTTAAACACAGCCTTTCAGAGACACTTTGAACAGGTACTGTTTATTTCTTCTTGGCTCAACCGTTTGTTTAATTTACTTCAGTCATTTGTGAGCCAGTGTGGTGTAGTGGTTAAGAGCATGAGACTGGGACTCAGACGATCTGGGTTCTAGTCCCCACTCGGCCATGGAGCCAACTGGGTGACTTTGGGCCAGTCACAGACTCTCAGCCCAACCTACCTCACAGGGTTGTTGTTGTGAGGATAACATGGAGGAGGGGAATGACGTAAGCTGCCTTGAGCCCTTTGCAGGAAAAAGGCAGGATATAAATCGAAAAATAAATAAAATTTGCATGTACTATTCCCCAGCAATTGCATTGGGATTTTATATAGCCATGGCACCATGCTGCATTCTTTTCAACACTCCTTCTAGTGTTGCCAACAAGAAGTTCAGGAAATTCTGCTTCTAGTTTTCTGTTAACTGCAGCTTGCAGTCCTAGGAACCCAACAAACTGGACAATTTTAATTATGGTTAGTGGGATCTAGGCTACTTGAAACCAGTTTACAAAGCTAGATTATTTCCACTTAAAAAAGTAAAAATTAACCACAGATAAGGGCTGAAATGCAATGGAAAAACTGTAATTAAGCTTAAACTGAAGCTTCCAGTCTCCTTACAGCCATATAAAAGGAGGGCCATGAGATAGGACAGTGAGGTAGTTCATACAGGCTTATTTATTTGATGTCTATACTACCCCACAGCTGAGGCTTCACACAGTTCATAAAAACAGGTGATGAAAACAAAAATCAGAAAAAACATTTTAAAATCGAAAGAACAGTTTAAAAAGCTAATACACTCAAATGAGCCCTGCCCCGCCAAAAAATGTATGTGGTTGTAGAGTTCAGAGCTCACCACTTCCTCTCTGTTGAGTTTAGTCTGATCAGGCTCACCCATGTCATGCTGAACTATATGGCTATTTCAGACTAATATTCTAATAGGAAAACTGTGTTCTATGCACATTCTTTTTGTGTTTTGTTTTTACTTTTAGGCTTCCATACAGATTTCTTCAACATCATCTCATCCTAGCCTTCGATCATCTGCTCATAGCACATCATCTTCAGGCGTGTAAGTATAAGAAAAAGCAATTACATTTTTCACTTGGAATTGTGACTACAGCAGCGCTGCAGTAGCACAGGCATGGTTTATGTCTGCAAGTTCACTCAGTTTCCCTGACAGGTCACTTGGCAGGGGCTGAAAAAAAATAATTACAATGACTCACAAGTTCAGCCAAAAAATAAAAGAGTTGAACTATCAACAGTGGAAGACAGTCTGCAGACAGTTTTGCCTGTCAATACTGTAGGCAGAGCTCCTTTTATTGAAAAAGTTTTAGTTTTTGCCTTCTGACTAGAGAGCAGGCACCTTCAATTTAGACAGCTTTCCAGCAAGCAGAGAAAGAACAAATTTAGTAAGAAAATTTAGTACCCAAATGAAACTGGAAATGAGGTTTGTTAAGGCCTGCGAAGGCAACGCTGTGCAAGATTCATGCCAAGAACAAATAAAAATATAGTACATGTTAATTTACATGTGGCAAATATTTACATAACTAGAAGAAATATCCAATTAAAATTGTATTGAATTCTGGCTAATTTTCTTGCCTGGGGAGGCTAATGACTTCTGTGTTGGTGGAGCTTCTCATCCATTGCAGCTCCTGTAAGCTTAAAATAAAAGATATAATGGATGAAGAAATCCACTGCTTGCTTGCTTTCAGAACAGAATTATGCATTTAAAAATTACCTTCCACCCTGAGCCTTCTAGGGGGAGTGCCTGGAACCAGCAAAGCATTTTCTGGCATTTACCAATTAACCGCAAACTGAACAGAGAATCCTTGCAAGGGAAATTGTGGGAATGCATTGTAGACTATAATAACCCATGCTCTGCTGCAAACTTGCATAATTAGTAGGAAGTAACTTCAATTAAACACAGTGGGATTTCCTTAAGAATAAATTCTTAATTTCTCCTGAAACCTATCACCAGTACACATAACAATAGAAAAATACCTTAGGACTAGATGATGTTGGTTTCCTGCTTCTGGCCTCTGGGCTAGGTGAGGAGCCAGAGAGAACGTAGTGCTCACTTGATTCAAAATTTATTTATATGTAGTTTCTGAGATTCTAGAACTTTGTAAACAGTTGTTCTAATTTCTTGAAATACTAAAATATACACTAAATGATACAGGAGGTTTCTAGGAAATTCCTCATCAAAAAATTTTTAAAGTAACAAAATGCATTGTTTAATATCTATGTTAGGACTGTTCAAGATTCCTAATAAAGGCATTGCCCAGCTCCAGATTTCTAATGGACTAGCAAGATCACCTTTGTTTTTGGTTGGCTGTTTTCTAAATTACCCAGTTATCAATCCCCAGGTTTCTGTCTTGATCCAGATATTGAATCTTCAGGACATATTTGGCCAGTTGGAGTTCTGAGCACATTTAGTAAGACAAGGGCAATCCGATCTACAATCACCTTGAAGTAGATCCCATTGAACTCAGTATAACTTCTGAGTCAGCATGCTTAGGCTTATGCAATAAATTGCTGTAATCCTATCCCCCATCCATAAATCTCTCTGTACCCCTACTTGTTTCCCTAGTGCACACAGGGAAGAGGCCAGCTTAGCAGAAGCAAAAAAATAAGGCAGATGTCTCTGGCACTCTGTTTGACTTGTGAGCAGCCAATGTGCCTGCCTTTCCTCTTGTCAGGGCCCAGTAGCAGTTAACTGGGAAGGGGTCTGCAGAGTCAGGCACTCTAGAAAAGGTGGGTAGCAGAGGTGGTCTTGGGCAATTTCGGATTCTGGTTTTAATTAGAATAATGAGCAGACTGTGAAGGAAAAAGTGGCTGTCTCCCCTGTAGTTTGAAAGCCTGATGCCCTCATGCTTCACTCCCTATTAGTCTGCCAGAAGAGAAAATCCTGAAGTCTCCTATTAATTGCAAGGCTGCTGAGTTCAGAGGGATGAAGCAGGCTTGTATTAAAATAGATGATGTTAATTGGGGCAGCTCTGCATATCTAGGGCACAGCACACAAGTATTTTATGCAAAAGATGGCCATATTTTTCACGAATTGGCTTTATTTGTTGGAAATTTTGGACTGCAGCTGTTTTTGGCACAAATGTTTTTGTCTTTAAAAAAAGATACTGATTGCAGCCCACTTTAAAAGTAAATGACTTATCTATGCTAACTCAGTTCACTTCAGCACAAGTTAGCACCAGCCAAAAACATAAGTGTGTTTGCTGGGCCAACATAGTTGGTATACTGTCCCTCCAAATCCACATTGTTAATGTTTCAGGAGTGTTCACTGATCCACTGCAGTGCTGTCATCTCATTTGAGCTGCCCGATTTGATTCTGGATTCAGCTAACTCCAAAGCATATCCAAAGTCAGTTGATGAATTTAAAATAGCTGCACCTAAAGAGAATATTGGAGAAGCTATCCTTGATAATACTATAAACAAGTTTTTTGCAGATAACATATAACTAGAAAAATAAAAGCTAAGTAGTGTAATGGCTTTCTTTCTCTCTTCTAGGTCACCTCAGAGTTCAGTTTCATCTTCCAGTCAAGCACAACTTAATATTGTATCTTTGACCCTGAGCCCCAGCCGTGAACCTACTGGTCCACTTTCCTCACGCCCTTCTAGCCATAGTAGTACGTCTACACACTCTGGTAGCAGAAGCTTCAATTAGCATTCAGTATTTCACTAGAGAATGCCTCAGTGCGTTTAAGAAATAGCAGATTTAAATTCTACCCCTTATTTAGTAGTATTTATTAAATTGAAGGATTATTTTATATTTTAAGGTAAGTAGCTAAAAGATTCATTGTAGGTGGTATTTGAACAAGTTGTATCGTTGACAAATTCAATAAATGTTTAAGGAAAATCTTCATGAAATGATTACATCGCTTCCTTTTTCGTTAGTGTGATTAAAAATAACATGTGGCTTTTAAATTTAATATCCCTCCAGGATTTGTAGGATCTGTCCCTTTAATGTAAATAAACTTTATCAATATGTTTGCTATTGAATTTTGTTGCACTTACCCATCATGCAACATATTTAAGATGTCCTCCATCCATCTTACTCAGATTAGACAATATCTTTTACTGCAGAAGAACTTGCTGAGTTAATGAGGAGAAAAAATGATTCAAATGAAAAGCTACTGGATGATCCAGACATCAAACAAAACCAGGAGTTTTGTACAAAAAAAATTTAATAGTAAGACAGGCTATATACACTGATGGCACATACATTAAAAACATTTGAGTTTATGGTTTTATTAACAATACATGGTTATATTAATACAAAGTAACAGTCATTGGCGCCTTGAAGATTCCTTTTGTAAAGTGCAATTTAGATGCCAGCACAGGTGGCTGTCTTAATAATAGCTAAGGATTTTTCAGCTGTTCATTTCTTAATATCCTAAATATCATGACATTTCCCAAAAAAGATATGATGTAACTCTTGCAGATTCATCATTCCTTAAATCAATATGAAACAAGCTTATCGATAAAGAACAAAAAGTATTTTTCTGTTAACAGCACAGACTTATCAAGTGATTAGAAGTTGAGCTACACTGCACTTGCACCAAAATTAATACCTTCAATTCACTGGTTTTTCTGCTTGCTTCCTTTTTCTCTCTCAAATTCAGCTATCTGATTAAATATGGTAAGTAGGTTCTGAGGCAGTTTTTTCCTAGCACCACTTTCCACTTGCCCTTGGCCATTGAGTGCAGCTTCCTCATCTAGCTCCTTGGCTTTTGTGGTTTCTCTTTTCTCCCTCTTGGGCTCTTTCTCACATTTAGTCCAAGTCAACTCAGGTCGACTGTCAGTATTATATCTACTAGGCTCATTTATCCATCGACTGGTGTTTTGATGGTAGCGCTCAACTGATTTGGTTGAGTAATCAGACCCTGTTGGAGATGTGCTATACTTTGTTTGGCTTGGACTGTGCTTTCGATAATGTTCCTTCCTTCCAAGTTCTTTTTCTATCTTCCCTGAATCATTTGTCTTGTTCTTGTCATCAGACTTTCTCCAACAGGAACCTATGTTATCCCTCCTGTCAGAGGAAACTCTGTCTGACTTACCCTGATTTTCTGTTTTGTTACTATTTGCCTGAGGCCTAGAGCTGCTACAAGAATCCCTAGAATCTTCAGACCTACCTCCGTAGGGATCTTCATCATCAGCAGATGTCCTTGAGAGAGAATAATCTCGTTCTCTGTCTCTTACATCAGGCTTTTGATAGGCTAACCTGTCCTGCCTCTCTAGCAGTTTCTCCATTTCATGCTTTTGATTAAGAAAGGAAGCAGAGGTATTGGCTGGAGGAGAGTAGCAGTCATCTTTCCTACTCTGATGTGAGGAACTTCTAGATGTGTGTTTTTTAGAGCTGTGCGAGGATTCGGATCGATTCCGATTCCTTTTCTTGCGTTTTTTGTTATTGGAAGAGGAGGAGGTTGATGAAGATTCATCTGATGAAGAATCACAGGAGGAGGAGGAGGAGGAGGAGGAGGAAGTGGACTTTTTTCTTTTCTTCTTCAACCTAAAATTTTAATTAACCATGAGGCACTGCCAGTAGCATCTAAAATTCAATGTTTTGGGTAAAGCTCTATCATAAAGGTTCTAGCTACTGAAGTTTAGGCAATACTAGTTGAAAAGGAGCACATCATTTGGTCACATGGAAGAAGCTCAGATTTTATTTCACAAAATGATAAATGAGGTATGCAAGCTAGTTTTAAAGTTTCTTTGAAATATGTTAAGAAATTTGGTAGTACTACAAGGCTCCCTAGCTCTACTATACAGAATCCTCCAGGACAACGAATACAAAAAATCTGTTTCCATTATATAGCATTCTTTGAAAATCAAGTGTCTGTCATAGGAACGTCTTTGCTATACCATTTCAATATAGGTTTTAGGAATGTTCAGGCTACAGAGACAATCCCTGACTATTGGGCCATGACGACTGGTGCTTGTGGGAATTCTAGTCCAAAATATCTCAAAGGCACTGGTTTGCCTACGCCATGGACATACCATTTTTTACTGCCTTTGACTCCTGAAGTTTGTTTTTCCACTGAAACCTACCTTTTCCATTAGACTGCTATCTTACCCTTTTAATCCTCATCCAACTACAACCAAGATCAAATACATGAACCAGCACTGCTCATGTTCAATCCATGCCACTTTTGTTAGCCTCTTCCCATTGCCCTGCACCAATACAAATATAGATTTCCTCAAGAACAGAAGCCTGCCTGCTTCTTATGAAAATCTGAAGTGGTATGTACATGGATGACACTAATAAATAAACCAAACATGCAAATTAGGTAGATGTACTGCTTTACCTTCAAAAGACTAGAGAGATTCAAGAACGGTGCTGAAAAGTTTGAAAAAGAGAAAGGTATACTTTGCTTCTTCACCCTAAAATAGATTCTCCCAGGACTCGAAAGCATCACAGCTCAGTTGGCACTCAAATTTTAATCCAAATAAGCTAACCCTCTCAGCCTAAAACATCATAATGGTACATCCTGCTGATTTTAGTGGTACTTAAGTGTCCTAGGTTGACAGCCTAAAATTGCAGGGAAAGAGATTATGCTCTTAGGCAGGATTAAACACAAAAGCAAAGGAAAAAATTATTCCCAACAAGAACTTTAGTCCCAATTATTAAGGAATCCTACAAATGGAGAAACAAGAAGCACTGTGACATCTTGTTAAGTACATCCAATACTGTGTGATGATAATTATTATGGCAATGGCCATTCAGATCCTATTACACTGATCCTCCATTGGTTTCATGGCCTATGATTTTGCTTTTGAGCTTAAGCAAAGTTGCTGGTTTTGATACTTAATAACCTAGGCAGTATGAAAACAGAATCTCCTAGAAACTGCATCCTCCTATAAGGCTTCCTGGAGCTTTCACTACAATTCAGGTGCCTCCAATGACCTGAAATAGTGCTGAGGGGCTCTGACCTTTGGTGCTCAGAATACGGAACAGAGATGAGCACCTGCTTCCTTAGGACCAAATCAGCCATGGATTACAAAGCATCTGTCATGTAGTTTGCTCTGTTGGGCTTTCTTTTTAAATAGCCAGTGCAAACAGAGCTGTACTGGGAGCATCATGGAGTGTGGGGAAGGGTTTAAACCAGGGGTCTCAAACTCGTGGCCCACGGGCCAATTGCTGGGATGGGCAGGGCACCCGGTGGCGCCCGGGCCGGCTGTGGGATGAGCGGCCCACCACCACCGCGGTGGTGGAATACTTGATACGGCCCAGCCTCACCCAGACTCTACTTCCAGCAGCCCCCAGGTAAGTTGAGTTTGAGACCCCTGGTTTAAACCATTGCCCCACCACAGTCTGGATGAGAACAGGGCCCACCTCACAGGATCGCTATTCACAATGGAAATGAAACTCTTGTGAGAGCCTTCCTCCTCCATTATGAACAACAGGCATGGCATGGGGAGAGGTTACTTCCAATTGAGACACATGCAGGAATGATTTAAACCATCATTCCCTCAACCCCAAACCAGCTTGTGCCCCATTTTTTTTTAAGCAAGCATGTGCTATGAGGCAATCATTTAGTTTAGTTAAGCAGTAAATATTAGTTTAGCTAAAGCAGTAAAACAGTTTTGTGGGATTCTGATGTTATCATGTGATCTGCTGCAAACTTTTTTTTTTAAGTCATATATAGCATTTTAGCTTATTTTGTATTTTGATGGCATGGTTTAAAGTCACCAGCCCCTTTGGTGTTTAAACAACTCTCACATAACCAAACAAAAGGCCATTTTTAACTCTTACATAACCCATTGTCCCTGCATTTGGAATAAGCAAGTGATGGTAGGGATATTCAAAACCCATGTGACTGTAAGTCATGGTGGGCTCTTTTGATCATGTGAATGTAGACACAGATCTTTGAATTAGATATAGATACCATAAAAGATGGCCTTAATAGTAAATCCTAGAAGTGAAGGAACACCTTTCATTTGTCTTATTCTGTATTATCTTGAATATTTCACCAGATGTACTTAGAACAAGACCTTACAAATGCAGTTCAGACAAAGCATGGCACCAGAAAGCATGGGAATTAGTCGACCTGTTTTATGCCTCTGTTTTAGGTATGAAGGGAAAAGACTGCACAGAATATTCTTCAAAGATCTGATATAGAGCTATCTAAATAGCAAGGAACAGTGACAATACAGTTGAATATTAGGTGCAATTTCCAAAGCATCCACAAGATTACTAAATTTCAAATGCTTTGCTTAGGGGAATTCCATGGGTTTCACAAAATTCCACTAAAAGAGTTACTTTTGTTTGCGAATTAGCTGATAGCCACAAGACATGGCCTGAACCAAAGCCATATTTGGCCTGCCTTAAGATAAAGTCCTGCTCTAGACTGAGTCCACTCTATGTAAAAAGACTACCACATATTTTGTGTGCGCCTTACACTTTCTGTTCCATTAAAGAAATATTCGAGTCAGCTAGGAACTTCCACAGTGCTTCCCATCCGCAAGACTCTGCTATGCTAAGCCTTAGTTTATTCAGCTCCATTGCCCTAAACACCCAGTAGTGACCACTGTGTGACTGACCCATCCAAATGCCCCCACATGCCTCCAAAGTATTCTACTATATGGCAATAATTGGTTAAAAGCATCATGTTGAATTTTCAGAAGGGGCTTAAAGCTTTCAGAAACTGATTTGCAGAAAAGATGAAGAAGTAGTCGATGTTACAAAGCAAAAGCTAAACACTGCAAAATCATCTTACCAATACGCTCTACTTACAATACCAGCTAGTTTCATCACATGTGTAAGTGATGCTGTATGGAAGACTCATATAAGAAATAGCAGAATGTAATAGACATTACCTTTTTTCTTCTTTTAAGAGCTTACGTAGTTTTTCTGCACTGGTTTCTATTTTCTTCTCCTTTTGTCTCTCTTTAGCAGCTTGTTTCTCTCTCATTTCCAGAGATTTCTTTTTTGAATCCCAACATCAAAAATATTGCATTAACAAGCCACAGTGTTAATCCAAGGATTTCCCCAAAATTCAATCCCCATCCCACAATGTATACACAGAATATATGTATCAGTCCCAAGGGCATCATATCCGAAATAAATATTTGAGCAAATTATTACAAACAAATGAAAGTGTTAAACATTGAGACAAACAAGGGACATATTGCAGTTTATACCGCATTAAAAAAGAAAAAAGACCAAGTGAAGCATTGGTATCATAGCCCAGTGTAAAATCATTAGCAATCCGGAAGGCATGAAGAAAAGATTTAAATGAAAAATAGCAAAATAGGAAGCCATATAATCAACCAAACATAAAGAACCAAGGAGAGCACCATTTTTTGAATGTATGCATAAAATCCAATCCAAATTAAGACATAATTGGGAGGGGCCACATATGAATACAAACCATTTGGCAACCATACCACAGCCCAGTTTGATGCATAGTTTACACACGTAATCAAATTCCAACGGGTTTTGGTGATGAGCAGCACCAGAGGTCAGGCACAGCAGCAACAGTTCCAGTTCAGAGGAAAATACATTGGAGAAAAACATATCATCAGTATTACAGGAGGACAGCCGCTCCGCCTCACATGTAACATTATATATTATGTTGTACATTATGGATTCTTTTGTAAGCCACCCAGAAAACCTATGGCTAATGCAGAGGCATATACATTGAATAAAATAAATAATAAACTCACGGCAAGTTATATGTGCCTGTAGACAACTGAAGTTCCCCTCTATAGGGCCAAAGGGGCACACTGTCTATTTTCAATGTTTCTGTTTATCAACTGCTCTTTGCTGGCATATTATGTAGAAATGTGTTAGCAAAAGTAGACATTGTATTTTGCATGTGTTCTTCTGTTCCTGATTGAGAGGCACCTCAAAGGGGGGAACAATCCAGTACAGGCCCTAACAAAGTAATCCTCAATGTCTTTCAAACAGGTATGCTAGAAATAAATCTTTAATCCAGTTAACCAAACCTTGAAGGCATACTAAGTAATCCTGTAGGTTAACAGTAGTCACAAATTATATTCAAGTGTTGGTGATGAACAAGTTTGAGCAGGTAATTTGAATCACCCTCCCAGGCCTAAGATTAACATGGTATTGACCAGGCCCTCTCTAACTCCCTTGACAGTACTGCCAAAGCAAAGGCTACTGTTTTCTCTGCAGTTGTTTATTCTAATTCTTTTGAAATGAAGTTCATATATGGCTACTTACATCACACCTGCATCCCAATGATAAACACATTCCCTTGGAAATAAATTTTAGTAGTGTCAATGGAGTTTATTTCTAAGTAAATGGGCTCTGGAAATCCCTCCAACTGCACACTACAAGTAGGTTCTAACTGAAAGACTCTTCTGATTTGGCTTTCTTGGATTCAGTATCAGCAATTATGCTTAGGAATAGGATAGGAAATATAGCACTTGATTGCTGGAGTGCTATATTTCCTATCCATTATCAGCCCCCTACCCCTGACCTGATGCATCTAGTTTGGTAAGCACAATAACATTCCACATCTTGATACAGGATAGTAATTTCAACAAAAAAATTTAAAAAAACGCAATGTTGTGTAGCACCTAGCTTTAAGAACCATTTACCTCAACTAAGAGAAAGTAAAGAATCACCTGTATCTGCTTACGAAGTTTCAGCAAGGCATCTTCAGCTTCTTGAAACATCTCATCTACGTTTAAAGCTTTCTTGTAGTAACTCTCAGCATTCAGTAACTTATCTTCCTCTTCCAACCTGGCAAATAATTTTTAGCACACTTAAACATTTGAGTTGCCACAACTGTGCTCGGACCCAAGGCTTGCCTTCCATGGACAGCACTGCTCACAGAAGATGGCTTCACCCAATGGCCAAGGATCCCCCCTGCCCCATACCTCAGTATGCTCCTCTGAATGGGATCATCAACCTGGATGCAACCGTTCATCCCACACATATTTCAGAGTAAGTCCACTCTGTGCTTAAGAAAAGCTGGTTTGCACTGTCAACAGTATTTTCTGATTAAGAAAAGTGGGATTTTATTCACCAGGGCAACCTTGGCTTGGTACTCATTTAACTTATTCATCCAAGATACACTCAAGAGTGCTTTCTACCAGACAACTGGCCCAGCACTGTGAGACAAGATACCACTTTTGGTCTTCCACACGTGGTCTCAACCTGTGCTGGAGCAGAAGCACACTGCTGCTTTAGGCAGGTGCTTTTCAACCAGCAAAAATTATAGCAATGTGAGTATGTGTTTTCTTGCATTTCCTGTACACGAATGATGTCAGGCATTAATCCTAAGTCATCAGAGCATTATAAATTTAGTTGCAAAAACACATGTGAAATGTTAACTGAGCAACATGCTCAAATATCCCTACAGTCTTGCTCAGGTCAGAAACCCAACTAGACAACAGAAAACAAGCTTGCAACCCATCTATTTGATTCCCTATCTAATAAAGGGGTTTAAATGAAGGTTAGCATGCAAGCTGCGGCAGAAGCCTAAAACTCACAGGAGGAAAACCAACAGGAAAAAAACTAAATGTCAACACTTTAAATATAACATGTAGTATGACCATATTACCTTAGATATACTGTAGAAAAAGAAGAGAGCTTTTACATTTACTAAAGAAGGTTTCTCTAGGTTAGTATCCAGTAAGAATTTCACAATGACTTAACTCCTCCATCGCCTAGGAAAAGCAGGGATGTACATGACTGAGTTCTGAGTACTTCATTGGTGCAAGGTTCCTCCTTGCCAATTCCACCTATAGCTAAATCTCAGAAAATGAGGGGGAAAACCATCTTTTGGATCATAAATAGGTTAAGGACCACAGAGCAGTGGCAGTAGAGAAATAAAATAATAAATACAATTATTTGGTTAAAGGAAATGGGAAAGGATGCTTCTCTGCTGTCAGCTTGTGTACTGGAAACATCGCCACCCCTCTGGATAATGACTGCTGTTTCTTGGCTTGAGTTACTATTCAAGGAAGCAATTGGTTGAGGCAATACAGGAAACAAAATCTTCTTTGTTAAATAATCTATCATGCAAACCGTCTTCTAGAATCTCAGTATCTTATTTCTTCCCCATCAGAGACAGACACCTGTCTCAATGCAGCACAGCCTTAGCTGTCTGAGATCTATCAGTGTAACCTGTAACTGCACAATATAGATCAGGTGAATTATCCCTAAAACCAGCTGAAGGATGTTGACTATGGGCAGTTAGGTTGTTGAACTTAGATTACTATTTTAACTCTTAGGTTTAGGAAGGAGAGAGCAGAAAGATCAAGAAGTGTGAGATTGTGGAACACTGCTTGACTTCAAGGCTTCTTTCTCTATCAAATTATCCAGTACTGCCTTAGAAATCTGGAGTAAAACTGACTTACCCAGTTGTGGTTGTGCTGGTAAATGGGGAAGGAGGTATCCAGTTATCCCAGCTAAATGCTAGAAGAGGCTTAGGAAGGAAATGTTTCTGCTTGCAGGTTGAATTTGAAACTGCTGCTTAAAATACCTACCCATCTGACTTAGTGAGAAACCTCTACCAGAGGATAGGAGAACATAAGCTTTCAATCTCACTGCTGGTGTCAGAGTGCCTGGTTCTTGAAGTTCTGTTTGATTCTCCTTGTGCTCTAAACCTGAGATTCAGCACAGGCTCTAATGACTGCAAGACAGGGTAGCGTAGACCTTGGCAAAGGCACCCTGACTCTCTCAACCTCTTCTCCTCACAAGCACCTCACAAGAAGAGGTGCTTGTGAGACTCAGAGGACAACCAGAGCCAGTAATTTCATGTCTGATATTCTCTGGTGCCATCAATGAACAGTGGGAGGCAAGGACTGCTGTCTACTTACTTGTTCATGGCTAACTCTTATATGAGCCACTGTCCCTGACCTCTTTTCAAGTCTTGAGCTAGTTTTCTTCAGTGGGGGTACTATGGAGAGAATGACAGGTAAATATCAGAGAAAAGCCTACAAGTGATTTTTTTAAAGGACACCAAAGATACTAATGTTTGGCTTGAGACAGGAGGAGGTAAGAATTTGCTCTGTCCTTGCTGAAAAACAGGGATGAAAAGGCAAGTAGGAACCTTGGACTAATGGAGGACTCAAAGATCAGTCATGTGGGTCCCTGTTTTTCCTGGGTGATAAGAGTTAACCCACTGTGGAATGCCTTCTTCATACCAACCTAGAAAATAAAAGGCACTTACATGCTTGACCAAGCGTCTGAGGAAAAAAAGAAAATGGCCATGAAAGTAAGAGGGAGATATACAGACCCTTTAACAGCCAATTGCTGTCTTGACAATATAAATAGTTTCAAGAAAAAAGCTGGGTCTTTATCTTTGGCTAGCCAGATGTGGAAAACAGTACTAGTAAGATGGTCGATGCAGCTAATAAATAAGACGAGGCAGCACTTACTGGCCTCCCCGTTCAACAAGCGTTTGACAGAGGTATTTCCTGGCATTTCTGTGTGTTGGACAGTTTTCTAAAGCAACTTCAAAATCATCAATTGCTTTATTTAAGCTTCCCTTTGTTGCATACCTATAAGAAAAAATATCTTATAAGTACACATATTTTGAATTTGTTCATGAAATTATTTGAAATAGCATTTTCTAGTTACAAACCAAAGCAACACTTACAGTGCCCCACGAGCCACTAAGGCTTCAACATTTTGCGCATCTATTTCCAATGCTTTGTTGTATTCATTCATCGCATCGACATGGCGGCCCTCTTTAAAATAATCGACACCAATCTTTACACTAAAAAAGAGTATCAAGAATATGATTTCTACATTTAAGTAAACAATCTGGCAACATTTCTATTTAACAGTCACATCAATTTATAGCCACATAAACCTATTAGATGTATGAAACAGCAAATTTACTGAAGAAGTGGAAACACAACAATCTCCCCTTACTATGCAAAGGAATCCTATCTTCCTATCATCTTTCTAGATCCTTCCCCACCAACTGCTCTAAAATCAAAGGAAAACATATAAAAGACTTTCTACTATTCCTCCATGGAACCATATTTGGCACTTCACACGCAAGCAAATACCTCCCTCCATTTTTCTAGGATGGGAAAATACCATGAGAAAGCTAATAAAAGAAGATTTAATTTAGCGCAAGCTTTAAAATAAGGTGCTTCCTCTCATGTCTGGCTGTTGACATAACACGTTAGCTATATCAACTTCAAGAATCAGCCCTTAAATAATAAGGCATTCCAACTGTTTGACCCAATTAAAATACACCTTATTATAAGCTAAGTAACAGTTCTTTCCAGTCTTGCATAAAACTTTGTATCAAAATGAAGCAAGGAATACCATTTTAAGGCCCATGAGGCAGATTGTCTTTTCCTCAATGCAATAGCAAAATCCTCTTCATTGAAATGTTTGCTGGGGAAAGAAGCATTTTAATGTAAGTCAAGAAGGTATGATTGAAGAGCAAGTTTTGACAATAGATGCACAGATTTTTAGAAAGCCTGGGTAGCCACGAATGAGCAGGAACAATGTGCCGTGCTGGCTTCTGCCCACTCTGACTGAGCTAAATATAGGGACACTATCCCTGAGTAGTAACTGTGACAAGTATTGTGAGCTGGTGATGGACAGATAACCCCGACTTAATCCACAGTTTGTACCTTTGTAGTCCTCTCATTAAGGATGGCGGGTTGGATTCATTCAGTCCTAGTTTGCCTACCAGAACCTCAACTACTGCTGGATTGGCAAAGCCCAAGGACTGATTCAAAACTTTTTCATATGTTTCCAAACCACTGGCTATTTCGACACTCCTCCTGGAAAAAAAGAGAGAGAGAGGCCAGCATAGGCATTGGTTCCAACTTGACAGGGTGACACCTTCTGCACTAAATGTACAATGAAAAGGATGTTAATGGCATATCCAGTAGTCATCCGGTATCTGACAAGCTCTTTATCAAGGAATATTAGATCTATTGGAGAAAACACGGAGACAACATAACTTTGAATCAACCACCATAATAGCTGGAATAAAAATCTCTTTGCCTAGGAAGGCAGCAATTCTTCATTATGAATTGGCCAGTTAAATGTGTCCAGTAAAGGACCATGTTGAGGCTTTACATTGCTCCTTCTCTCTTTCACTTCTAGCCCCCTTGATGCTGCTCCTTCTTCTGGCATGAGTTGGTAGTCTCATGGTACAAACTGCACCAAATACAACCCTAAATTCTTCAAGTTACCTAATCAACTAAATACATATGGACATGAATATTCAGAAATGAATGCTGCCCTCTGCTGTTCCATCCATCTTCTCTGAGCAGCTTCTTATACTCTAGTTTTCCTGCCTGACAGATGTGAGATTGCAATGCTCCTTTCAGAAGAAACCATGTAAGAGTATATAGGAATGGCACTCCCTGACTTCCTGAAGCTGGAGATTACTAGATTCTTATGTTGTTCCATATATAACTTTCCTCATACCAATATTAAGAAGTTTCTTTACACAGGAGGCACTAGCTGAATCCTGAAAATGATGAAAGGCAAAGCAGCATGAAAGTAAGCTGTTGCAATGCTCACAGTGTTCATTCTATTAAATTGCAGGACTGTAGCTACTAGCCTTGGTGCAAGAAACCAACTTCATGACATACATAGCAGTCTGTATCATTGCCACAGGCAACAGTGTCACACAGTTTGCAGTAAATGCATTATCCTGATGTACAGCTCTACAATGAGTCCAATATGCCTGAACATATTCCAGTGGCAGATGCTCCATGTTTGCAAAGAGATATGAGTGTGGAGCCATCTCCACTGCTCTTCTGCGCATCAAAATAAAAGGAAAATTCATACACAGGCTGGGAGCACAAACTTAAAGTTCCTACATGCACAATAAGGCACTGCATCTAATCAAGGAGTCTGAATGGACCAAACTAAAATATTTAGTAGTGTGAAGTCAAAGTGCATTGTGAAACATATTTTTCTTCTGATGTCAACATCAGCACTGCTATTTAAATTAAGAAGCCAATGCTATGAAGTTAGAATCTCTACTCTTGTCAATACAGACATTTTTCTCTTTTAAACAGAGCCTGGTATGTGTGAAAGGGTTTACTGAGCCACTAAGGAAAGATGCCACCCATTTCTGTTTCATACCTATAGTGCAGAGGCAAGTCATCCAAGCTGATTACTCCTAATTTGGTACTTGCAAGGCTGGGAGAAAGAGCAGAGCTGTGCAGTGATACTGTGAGTTTTTCGTGGTAGCGATCGATATCCTTGATTGCAGCTATTAAATTTAAAAAAGAAGAATACCTCATCAAGTGTACCGAATGTAAATGTGCAGGTATAAATCTGTTAGTAAGGCAGCAAAAGGTTGTATCAAATGAACTTGCCTTGGATAAGGTCACTAATTTGATAGTATGATAAAGGATCACCATGGCTGCTTTGGGAAGGCACATCTCTCAACGGACAAAGAGCCTGAAAGGGGAACCAACCCACCCAAAAGGTTAGCATTCATTATTAGAACATTAAATGTTATGCTTTGTGAGGAGGGGTCAATGAACTTAGGTACTATGAATCTCAAGCAAGACTCTTCAAAGCAAAACATTTTACACGCATGTAGTACTAAACGTGACTTAGAAGCAGCCCTACCAATCTCAGCTCTGCTGTGATAGTAGCACCCAAAGTTCACAGAACACACAAGGAAAAAAATCAGATCTGCTGCTTTGGCATTTAGCTGGAAGACACAATGCTAGAAAACAGCATGTGCAATAGCATGCAGGGTGGCAGGGGTTGGTGAAATGTTCCCTTGTATAGTTATTGCCACTTGTGTCACCTCCAGAATTCCCACGATATGCCATGTAGATTAGCAGTAAAATCAGCAGCTGCAGCAAAGATGAGAGGGTGCCAGTCAGTTGAGGAAATGATTTGACAGAGAGCCTGATGGTGCAGGACGCAGTAGCAGTGGCCAGCAAAGAACGTGCAGATCCTTCCTTTCATTCTTCAGGCCTAATGGAAGCATATTCCTAACACAGTTATCTTGCATTTCCCAGTAGGTGTGTGCGAGCTACGCTTTTACACAACACTGGCAACATGGAAAGAGAGTGCAGGATCATTCCAAAGAAAGGGTTTTTTTTTAATTCAACTATCACAAGCAAAATCTTGGAACATTTGAAAGAATTAAAAGTTCGAAAAATTTCCATTTTTTAGAGTTCACCTACATGATCAGAACTACAGCAGAATTCATTTTAAGCTGTCTATAATCTCAAAATATGATACTTGGGAAGAGCAGAGGGCTAGTACTAGTAGCGCCAGAAAGAATGAAGCAACTGGGTCAAAGCTGAAAGGACACTCAGTTGCAGATGTATCTGGTGGTGAAAGGAGAGTCCGAAGCTGTAAAGATCTATACTCCATAGGAACCTGGAATGCAAGATCCATGAATCAAGGCAAGCTGGATGTGGTCAAACAAGAGATGACAAGACCAAACATCGACATCTTAGGAATCAGTGAACTAAAATGGAGAGGAATGGGTGAATTTAATTCAAATGACCATCAGGTATACTACTGTGGGCAAGAAACCCTAAATCATATCCCTGATGAATATACAGTAGAGGTGACAAATAGATTTAAGGAATTAGATCTGATAGACAGAGTGCCTGAAGAACTATGGAAGGAGGTTCGCAACATTGTACAAGAGGTAGCAACTAAAACCATCCCAAAGAAAAAGAAATGCAAGAAAGCAAAATGGCTGTCTGAGGAAGCTTTACAAATAGCTGAGGAAAGAAGGGAAGCAAAGGCAAGGGAGAAAAGGAAAGATACAAGTACACCCAATTGAATGCAAAATGCCAGAGAATAGCTAGAAGAGATAAGAATGCCTTCTTAAATGAACAGTGCAAAGAAATAGAAGAAAACAATAGAATAGGGAGGACCAGAGATCTCTTCAAGAAAATTGGAGACATGAAGGGAACGTTTCATGCAAAGATGGGCATGATAAAGGACCAAAATGGCAGGGACCTAAGAGAGGCAGAAGAGAGAAAGAAGAGGTGGCAGGATTACACAAAGGAACTATACAAGAAAGAGCTTAACGTCCCTGATAACCACGATGGGGTGGTCACTGACCTCGAGCCAGACATCCTGGAATGTGAAGTCAAATGGGCCTTAGGAAGTCTGAGCAACAACCAAGCTAGTGGAGGTGACAGTATTCCAGCTGAGCAATTCAAAATCTTAAAAGACGATGCAGTAAAAGTGCTACACACTCAATATGCCAGCAAACTTGGAAAACTCAGCAGTGGCCACAGGATTGGAAAAGGTCAGTTTACATTCCGATCCCAAAGAAGGGCAATGCCAAAGAATGTTCAAACTACCGCACCATTGCACTCATCTCACATGCTAGCAAAGTTATGCTCAAAATCCTAACAGCTAGGTTCCAGAAGTATGTGGACCGAGAACTACCAGAAGTACAGGCAGGATTCCGAAGAGGCAGAGGAACTAGCGATCAAATTGCCAACATATGTTGCAACATGGAGAAAGCTAGGGAGTTCCAGAAAAACATCTACTTCTGCTTCATTGACTACGCTAAAGCCTTTGATTGTGTGGATCACAACAAACTGTGGCAAGTTCTTAAAGAGATGGGAGTACCAGACCATCTTATTTGTCTCTTGAGAAACCTATATGTGGGTCAAGAAGCAACAGTGAAAACTGGACACAGAACCACTGATTGGTTCAAAATTGCGAAAGGAGTTCGGCAAGGCTGTATACTGTCGCCCTGCCCATTTAACTTATATGCAGAGCACATCATGAGAAAGGCAGGGCTAGATTAATCACCAGCTGGAATTAAGATTGCTGGGAGAAATATCAACAACCTCAGATATGCAGATGATACCACTCTCAAGGCAGAAAGTGAAGAGGAACTAAAGAGCCTCTTGATGCGGGTGAAGGAGGAGAGTGCAAAAGTTGGCTTGAAACTCAACATTAAGAAAACTAAGATCATGGCATCCGGTCCTCTCACTTCCTGGCAAATAGATGGGGAAGAAATGGAGGTAGGGACAGATTTTATTTTCCTGGGCTCCAAGATCACCGCAGACAGGGACTGCAGCCAAGAAATTCAAAGATGCTTGCTCTTGGGGAGGAAAGCTATGGCAAATCTAGACAGCATACTAACAAGCAGAGACATCACCCTGCCAACAAAAGTGCGTATTGTCAAGGCAATGGTTTTTCCAGTTGCAATGTATGGCTGTGAAAGTTTGACCATAAGGAAGGCTGAGTGCTGAAGAACTGAGGCCTCTGAATTGTGGTGCTGGAGGAGACTCCTGTGAGTCCCTTGGACTGCAAGGCAATCAAACCGGTCAGTCCTAGAGATGAACCCTGACTGCTCTGTAGAAGGCCAGATCTTGAAGATGAAACTCAAATATTTTGGCCACCTAATGAGAAGGAAGGACTCCCTGGGGAAGAGCCTAATGCTGGGAACAATAGATGGCAAAAGAAGAAGGGGACGGCAGAGAATGAGATGGCTAGATGGAGTCACTGAAGCAGTCAGTGTGAGCTTACGTGGACTCCGGGGGATGGTGGAGGACAGGAAGGCCTGGAGGAATGTTTTCCATGGGGTTGCGATGGGTCGGACACAACTTCGCGACTAACAACAGCAACATAATCTCAAAATACCCTTTAATATTAAAAATTGAGAATGGTCTGCTGGCTCAGTAAGATATGAGCTACTTTTCAAAATTAGGACTTTGAACTATTCATCTTCCTACAATTCCCATTTGCTTTCCTTGAGCAAGCTATCCCCATTTAGTTGTGCATGAAGCTAACAAAAAAAAACCACCATGCATAAAAAATGCTTCCACTCTAATAATTCATATTAAACTCCATCACCAGACTTACACTGATTTCCAAATCCATGATCTCTCGAACAACACCACTTCGCAGACAGTACAGCACCATGAAAAAACCAAATTCACGAATAGAACTGATCCTTCCAATCACTATATCCCCACGTTCAATATCTCGGAAAAACAGTTCTCTCCTCTCTGCACTGGGAATATCCATGAACTGCTCCAATGGTGGCATAATAGCATAATAATCTTCAATGGATGAAAATAAGAGAAAATCACATATAAGAACTGCCTTTTTCCCCAAATAAAACACCATTCATTGTTTCAGTTGCACTGTAGAAAAAATCCATACGTATATGTAATTTATAAATCTGTAACTTCAAAAATCTCATAGACTAAGAAAAACCTTTCCAACTGTCCCCCAATGTTTTAATAGAAAATAGTACCTGTCAACTAATGTTTAATTTATAAGCTTTCACCTCTTCAACTCTTTCTGGTGTGACATTCCAAAGTAAACAATTTATTAATTCTCATTCTAAAGAACTGTCTCTTAAATGTATCTAGACTTCTCTAGCTGTCTCCCATGAATCAATTCTCAAGTGACCCGACAATTTGTTTACAATCTCATTACAGTGCGAGGATGAATTTATTATACTGGAACCACTGCTGTGTGGAAGCATTGTAAAGAATAATTTAGAAAAGAGTTGGAAAAATATATTTGTGAACAGCTACGGTAAGAAAATAAAGGGGATTCTTCTCCTGTGATCCACATTCACTCATAAGAACTTGTTCAGACTTAAGGAAACAACAGTGCTGCTACATCCTCCAACTTTAGCCCACAAGAGCTGTGGAACTGATGCGGTAAGGTATCTCATGTAGAGATGCTTAATTTTTCAGACATTGTTCACCTTCCCCGCTTCTCCTCTGCAATACAGAAAATGTAGAAAACCAGAAATATGTACTGCTAAATTGATCAAACATAAACTTACTATGCAAGTTTAAAAACATGAATAACTTAGGAGATAAAATTGCACTGTTGGTACTTAGAGGTCTAAATGTCTGTGTTTAATCAAATAGCATTACAAGTATATCCAAGGTTTATAGATAAACAGTTGTACCTTGAAATGTATGCAAAGAAACAGATTTATACTTACTTACCTAGGAGAAAATCCCACTAAACTCAATCTTAGGCATATGTAAGAATGGCCGCCAAATAACTTATGCATTGTATTTATTTATTTTCAAATCCAAAGGCCACTGAATAGTCCAACAGGGCTCTCTAAGCAACTAACAATATTAAAACTTACTTTTTGCAAGCTTGGAAGGACCCATTTACAAATAAAACTATTATTATTTTATTACAGAGGTTTAAAATAGCATGTACTTCCCAACTTAAAAAAATATTCATTTCCAAATACTTGAAAAAGCAGGTATTACATTTAATAGTTTCCCCTGAATGTTTCCCTTTCAGACCCTGGGGAAACAAGACTCAAGGCAAAATTTTTCTTCTTAATTTTTCATTTTTTATTTCAGGCATTCTCACCTTTAAACTGGAACCCAGACACATATTAACATGTGTCACCAATCACAACTGATACACAATATGTTGTCTTAGTGCAGCCTTACCTAAACTGATGCCAGACGGTTGGCATGGTGGGAAATCTGTCCCTCCAGACAGATTTCACTATTATTCCTATCACCTATGCCTGTATAGTCAATTGTCAGAAATCCTTGAGAGTTGTAGTCCACATCTCCTGGAGAACACTTTTATGTTATGGAAGACTATCTTAGTGAAATTCTTACCTTCGTTCTCTTCATTTGCTTCTGTTGTTATTGGCACATTTGTTTTCCAAGAATGAGAAAAAAGGAGGTCAGCTTTTTTTGCAATGAAATGTTGTATCTCAATATTATCAATCCCTTTCTCTTTCCTGAAACAGCAAAGAAAAGAGATTAATATCCCCTTAACTAATACCGTTCTATACCAAGACTCCAACATTCATGGACTTCAGAAAATAGAAGGATCTACACACACTGAAACAAACGGTTTGCATGCTAGTTTTTTGATTGTGCGAATATATAGCTCAAACATTAACTTATTTTATTTACTGAACATGTGGCAATCCAAGGAAAGAGAAATACAAGAAGAATCAATAAATGTGTTGAAGAAGGGCCTTGTCACTATGGTGAAATTTTGCACATTCCCAGATTACGTAGCTGGAGCAAAAACAAAAAGATGCAGTGCTGCCCTGCAACTTTTGGCAGTACTATTCCAGCTACACCTAAAAAGTGTTCATTTACTACATTTGACTGGATTATTAGTGACTTGAAATCCAGACCAAAGAAAAATGTGAAGAGCATACAACAATATCACAGAAGAAATTCTCAGAATATATATTCTCCCATTAAGTGCAAAGTCAGTTGCAAAGTACAAAACTCCTCTTTTCTGATGATTCCAAGCAGCTGGCACTTCACAGTTATATAGTCAACATGATTTAGATATTTATGCCTTCAGTCATTTTTTGTATTCAAAACATACATTATTTAGCTACCTGTTCAGCATCTCACTAAACACACACACATTACTTGATAAAAAGCTGAGATTAGTAGAATACAACCCTCAACATGTTTATTCAGAAATAATTCCAATCAACTTCACTGAGAATTACTCCCAAGAAAACACGTTTAGAATTTGTAACATGAGTTTACAGTACGTAACTGCTTAGTGACTGCCAACCTTTCAATATGTGACATACAAATATCAAGACCTTAAGTTCTAAACTGTTAGAAGTGGAGTAACAATGTACAATTTTATACAGCAAAAGCATATTTTATATTCAGAGGCAGGAAAACAATGGCCAAGTTTAGATGATCACTGCCACCCTTGATAGCTTCAATGAGTCACCATGGTTTGCAGAATGCAAGAAGGGTCCATCCTGTGACCCAAAGTATTTATTTATTTGTTTAGAAAATTTCTATGCCGCCCCATTCGCCGAAGCCTCGGGGCGGCTCACAAACTACAAATAAGGTAGTTGTACTGTCTGAGCCCAGGTGGATTGCTGGCAAGGTTAACAAACCACCCAGAACCCACGGGCTTTTTAAAAGCTGTTAGTATGTTAACCATATCAACAACCTCTTCTGGGTTCTGATCCAACAATTCACAAGGAAGAGGTGCCTAAAATGTGCTGCAAACCACGGTAGCTTACTTAAGCCCCTGAATATAATAGTAAACTAAATGCAGTGAATGATTATGCCTTGCATTCAATGGTACATTTCGAAAAAGAGGAGCGGGTCAAAATTCTGTGGCTTCTTTGCGAAATGTCCTTAGTGCAATTCATGGCGTCACCAGGTAAAGCTAGGAAGGATCCCTGCCTGAAACCCTGGATTGCTGCTGTCTGTAAAGGCTCAGAGTCGGAGTTCAATTCCACTGGGAAATTCCACCTACTTAGCCTACCTCCTGTATATGCCGCAGCTTGGCTCTAAACCCTGCGCCCTGCACATGCTCGGAGGCACTCTTGCCTATCATCACTTCACAGCCATCAGGTTTGCGCGCTCACAGCGCTGCCAAGCACCCCAATGCCAGGCCGCCTGCCCTGCTGAACGAGCCCCCTCCCCTCAGAAGGCCACGCCCTCCCTGCTACAGACAGGGCCACGGGCAACCCCTCGCCCTCACCTGGGCGGCGGTAGCGTCTCCAGGCCGGGGCCCCCAGGCGGCAGGAGACCTCGGAAGTCGGGATTGTCGTGTTGCTCGGTGCGCAGCAAGGGCAGTAACGTCGGCCCGTGGAAGCCGAGCGCCTGGCGGACCAAATCGCGATCCATCCTCCCTCAGTCAGCCGCCTGCGTCGCCCTGGGCGGCGCGGCGGCGACACCCCTCCCTTCACGCAGATGATAATTTACATGACCCGGAAGCTGACCCTTCCGCGGACTCCTTCCTGTTGGGCTCTCCCCCCCCCCGTGAGGCGCGCGCTGCACGTAAGCGCGCGGCGAGGTCTCCTGGCAGCGGCCGCCTTCCCGCGGAGAGGGCGGGGTGATAACGCCTGGGCGGGAAGCGGCCGAGGGCGAGCGGACCTCCGGGAGTTGGCTCGTCGGCTGTGTGTGGCGGCCGCGCCTCCCGGTCGCCGTCTGCTCAGAAGTCAAGCCCCTCTGAGCTGCGGCGGAGTGGCTGCCAAGTAACACGATTCGACCGGAGAAAGTCCCTCGCCCGCAGGTGGTTGCTGTCACCACGGGGTCGTGGCTTCTCTTGCGCCTCCTGGCCTCGCCATCTTACATTCGCACCGCCCAGAGCAGGAAGGTGTTCACGCAGCTCCCCGCTTGGCCAAAGCCTTGTTTGCCTCTCTCAGCGCGGCTCAGACCCGTGGCTAAGAAGGGCTGAGGGGGCTCCCAAGGGCCTAAGCGCTTTGCTGGATCAGACCAAAGGTCCGTCACGCCAGGACCGAAGAGCGGCTCGTGGGAGACCCACAAGCAGGACGTGCGTGCAACTTGGGCCGTGTCCTGGCGAGCCTATGCCCAAATTACACAGCACAGGAAGGTTTTCTTTCAAAGGATTTATTCTCGAGAATAACCGGCTGCCAGATGGCGCCCCTGAGCAGTCCTCATATGGCCCTTTGATACATTGCTCATTAAAGGGTTACACATACACAGTTAACACTTTCCAACAGGCTACAGAAGTAAAAAGTTGCAATGGCGTGATCTTCCTTACTTGCATACCAAAGTAGAAGGAAGATGCTCCAGAGAAGGGAGCAGGAGGATGGGGTGGGTTGGTGTGAATTGCCCTCTGTTCGAGCTGCTTTATCTGTCAAGTGTCAGCAAGCTGCCTCTGCAATGGAGCCTGGTTAGTGTCAGCTGCATGATTATACCTGTGTAAGTTACACCTGTTGATTTGTACATCACCCTCACTCATGTTCTCCAGCAGCTGGCATGCAAAAACAACCTGCCCCTGGTCTGGTCTGAAGGCACACAAAAAAGTCACTGTGTTGAGATTAAGCAGGCCTGAGTTTAATCAGTGCTTGGAGGGCATGCTGCTGAGCCTCCATGTAGTTATGTTGAGTTCTATAATGGAATAATGTACAATCACCGTACTACATCTTGGAGGTAGCATAGCGCCATCAGGATGAATAGCCATTAATGGATTTCTCTTCTGTAACAGTCCTCCCAAGGGAGTTGTTTGAGTGTGCTGTAATATATGGGCTTGCCTTCATTCACTTTGATTATGATCAAAAAGAATATTTGGGAGCAGGGAATGTAAGGAGAATTGTGGCTGGCTGTCTATGGCACAGTGGCTTGAGGTGGGGTATTGGAAGGCATAATGAGGCCCTCTCCCTCTCAGTATTGGTGGAATGGCTACTCTGGAGTCTTGCCGGCACATGGCATCTCTCCACAATTTTGCTGCATTTTCTCCACATCACTGCACTGACTGTGACTGGTGGACTTTGTATTGTTGTCATTCATCTTGGGATGTGGTAAGTTTTGTCTATTTTTCTGCTTTTCAGAGCTGTGTGCTTTCACTCTCCTGTCCTGAGCTGTGTGAATATAGTATAAAGTAGGATGTATTAAATGTTGCAGCAGTCTATCTCCCTCCCTGGTGTATCAGAGTATACAATTGTTCTGCCTATCAATAATACACCAACAGTGGATGTCTATTATTTGTTTGATTTATTATCCCAATTTGTATACTGTGCTGTGTTCCACAAGGTATCAAAGTGAGGAACATAAACAGGCTTCAGCATAACAATAAAAACAACACAATACAAATTGATCAGCAATAAAAGCACATATCCACTGTGTGCTGCAAACCATGTCTCCCTAGGTCACACTTTGGAGAAATCCTTTTGTAAATAATTGCTTTTGCCCACTTAGGGTGCTGTCCTGTGTATGCGTAGATGGACAAAAGTTCCAGCTTTCCTCCGCCAACATGTACAACTTCTGTTAGTGTAAACATGCATTGGATTATGCCCTTATTTATGTTGTGCCATTATTGCACATAGCTCTTTACAGAAAGGTGGACTTAACCATCTAAAATTTGCCATGGGAGGCAGGAACAAGAGGCAGGGGTTACACGTAGACTGAGTTAGGTGACACATGGGAACTAAAGTTTTGTGTCACATATATTGACCACAGACATCTCTTTGGCCACCTAGGAAATGCAGTGCTGGATTAGATGCACCATTCATCTGATACATTAGAGATTTTTTTAGGTTTCTTCTGACAGTTTGGTGCAGCATTATATGCAGATGTGGCACTTAGCTTATGGAATACTTCAGAGAGGCTTGGTTTACACCATTCTAGTGCTAGATAAAGGTTTTCACATGTATTTTATTTTGTTTTAACTTTTGATGGGATTGTTTTGCTCCTGCAAATTCTACTTATTTTTATTTTTGCTTGGTGTAGTTTTACTGTCATTCTAAAATATTGCTGCTATTGTTTTCATTGTGTCAGCTGCCCTGGAAAAAAAAGTACAAAAGGATTTAGTGCAAGTGTACTAAATAAATGAATATGAATCTGCCTCATGGGTACAGCTTGCTTGGTATTGTCTGTGAAAATTGACTGGTCGTGACTCTCCAGGTTTTCGGACAGGAATCACTCCCACACTTCCATGGAAATACCACAGATGGAGCCAAGCCCTTTGCAGACAATGCCTATGCTCTACAACTTGAAGTACAATATATGTCCTTTTCTGGCGAGCTTCCAGCAACAGGAAAAGAGATATCAGTTTGGCCCGTTGTAAAGTGCAAACAGCTGCCTACTGACCCAGCCACCCAACTTAACTAGCAGAGGAGGATGACTGAAGAAAAGAGGAAGATTAGCTGCTAGAGCTATAGCATTTGTCTCCACTATGCCTGTTCTACCAATCAGCTGGGGACTGATATTTATATGCCACACAAACCTTCCTGGAGGAACTCAAGGTTAACATCAGGTAGTCTCAACAAAAGAAGAAATGCTTGCAGAAGACAAATTGAACATTGCAGGAGATTGTGAAGGGCTTGCATGTTAGTTTATATCACCAATAATTTATTTGAATTATGCAATTTATTGCAAGCCTCCTTGAGTCTGTCTCAGTAGAAGATTAACGAAGCAATCCTAGGGCCCTCTGGACAGTGTCAGATTTCCAGCTATGAGGTTGGAGAGTTGCTCAAATCTTGGAGGCAGAGCTCTGTGCTTGGATCCTCCTCACTTGCAGTCGGCATGGAAAGAACAGTGCTGGCTGTTTCTCTGAAGGTACGGAAGAGAAGAAGATGTTCTGGAGAGGATGGAAAGAGACTGAATTAGCCAAAGTATGATGTATCCTGGCAACACCTCTGCACTTCCCCTCACCAGTGAAGTGCCACAGTTAGACAGACAAAACTAGCTATTGAGCAAGAGTGTGGAGACAGCCTTCATCACCATGCTCCTCTGCCTCACTCTAAGTTCAGAGTGTTATGGCAACCAACCCCATAGGATTGTGTCTGTTGTTGTTAGTCACGAAATCGTGTCCGACTCATCGGGACCCCATGGACAACACTCCTCCACCATCCCCTGGAGTCCACTTAAGCTCACACCAACTGCTTCAGTGACTCCATCTAGCCACTTCATCCTCTGCCACCCCCTTCTTCTTTTGCCATCTATTGTTCCCAGCATTAGACGCTTCTCCAGGGAGTCCTTCCTTCTCATTAGATGGCCAAAGTATTTGAGTTTCATCTTCAGTATCGGGCCTTCTAAAGAGCAGTCAGGGTTGATCTCCTCTAGGACTGACCGGTTTGATCGCCTTGCGGTCCAAGGGACTCGCAGGAGTCTCCTCCAGCACTACAATTCAAAGGCTTCAGTTCTTCAGCACTCAGCCTTCCTTATGGTCCAACTTTCACAGTCATACATTGCAACTGGGAAAACCATAGCATTGACTATACGCACTTTTGTTGGCAGGGTGATGTCTCTGCTTTTTAGTATGCTGTCTAGATTTGCCATAGCTTTCCTCCCCAGGAGCAAGCGTCTTTGAATTTCTGGACTGCAGTCCCCGTCTGCGGTGATCTTGGAGCCCAGGAAAATAAAATCTGTCACTACTTCCATTGTTTCCCCATCTATTTGCCAGGAAGTGAGAGGACCGGATGCCATGATCTTAGTTTTCTTAATGTTGAGTTTCAAGCCAACTTTTGCGCTCTCCTCCTTCACCCGCATCAAGAGGCTCTTTAGTTCCTCTTCACTTTCTGCCATTAGAGTGGTATCATCTGCATATCTGAGGTTGTTGATGTTTCTCCCAGCAATCTTAATTCCAGCTGGTGATTAATCTAGCCCTGCCTTTCTCAGGATGTGCTCTGCATATAAGTTAAATAGGCAGGGT